GGGGTTTGACTGGTAGTAGACCAGAATGAAGAATTGCAGGGGAAGAGAAAGTGCTACCCTCTGCTAAATCCATGGCCTCCTAGGACCTGGGCTGTGACAAGTGCTGTGCTTTATGAATTTCACCGTCACCATTCTGTTGAAGAAACTGAGACACAAGAATTCAAGTGACTTGCTTCAGGTCATAGCAGTACTAAGTGCTATTCAATCAGCTGGTACTTACTGAGGGCAGGGATTCACATCTAGCTACTGCACTTTGGCAGTCCATGGTTTCCATAGAGTTTCTTCTTTGTATTGGAGCATCTTACCTAAAGGTATGGCCTGAACATTGTCTCCTTTTCCACCATCCCTGATGCCTGGAGCAGTGCTGTGCACACACAGGGACTTCAGTAGATATTTGAGTAGGTGAAGGCTCATAGTCTGGGTGAGTGGCAGAGCTGAAAGCCAGTGTGGAGCCGAACCATCGTGGGTTGCTCTTTGATACTGCCTTGCCTGCCTAGGGTGCAGGTGGTGAGGAGGCCTTGGGGTATATAGCTCAGTGGTAGAGTACTTGCTTACCATGGGTGATGTCCTGGGTTCAGTCCTTATCATAGAACAAAAAAGTCCAGAATTTCCCCATTTCTAAATGTTTGCAGGGAAGAATGGGCTCCCTGTCTGTGACTGTGGCTTGCTGGTCTTTTTGTTGGATGTGAAGACTCACTGGGAGAGCAGAATTGCAGGCAGTGTTCCCAGTGTGAGGAGGGAGCCACTAGAATTACCGTAATATTGATGTAACTGTTTCTGAGTGCCTGAAAATTTCAGAAATAGTCTTTGCTTGTTTTTCTCCTGAAAGGGTCTCACTACATAGTTCAGACTGGCCTTGAACTTGTGATCCTCCTGTCTCATTACAGGCATGCACTGCCATGCCTGGCTTGAGTACTTGTTTTGGATGTGATACTGTAAAATACATATTTGCTCCTCTTCCCTATTTCTTGGCATACAACTCCTAAAATTCTTAGAACCTCCAAAGTAATAAAACCTTTCGGAATGCTAATGAGTTGACTGATGGCTGGCAGCCCTAGGTAGCTTCAGGATGGGGGGGTTGGATCCTTGAAACACTGAGGCAGTGATTTAATCAAGCAAGCCTATGTAATGAAGGCTCTATAAAAACCCAACGGGACAGGGTTCAGGGAGTTTGTGGCCAGCTGAAGTCGTGGAGGTTCCTGGGGATGGAGTGCGTGGAGAGGCTTTGGAAGCTCCACACCCTTTCCCAAATGCCTTGCCCTCTGCATCTCTTCACGTGTGAACTTTGTAATATCCTTTATAACAAGCCAGTAAATGTAATTAAGGGTTTCCATGAGTTCTGTGAGTCATTCTAGCAAATTAATTGAATTCAAGAATGTGGTTGTGGGAACTCCAGTTTTAAACTGGTTGGTCAGAAGCATCAGTTAAATGACCTGGAGTTTGATTGGCATCAGAGGTAGGGGCAGTGGTGTGGGGCTGAGCCTTCATCCTGTAGGATCTGCCCATCTCCTGGTAGATAATGTCAGAATTGATTAGAGAATACTCTGCTGATGTCCCCTGCTGAATCTGTAGAACTGCACACTTACTTGAGAAACCCCACATATCTGTTGCCAGAAGCACGTTGTGAGAGTATGGGAGAAACTGAGTTTGATATGCTTTCATTCTCAGATTTGATAACTGGGCTTTTCCATGCTGTACCACACTGTAACAAAAGTAAATTGCAGGTTTTTAATAAATGTAGATTGCTGTTGCATTTCTTAAAATGAATTGGGTCAGAAGAAATTGCATCAATACATTGTGGTTAAATTTTTTTCAAAACGGGTTTGAGCTCAGGGTCTTATGCTTGCTAAACAGGCTATGGTTAAAATTTTTGTTGTTGTTGTTGTTGATACTGGGGTTTGAACTGAGTTTCACACTTCCTAGGCAGGTGCTCTACCACTTGAGTAACTCTGCCAGCCCTTTTTTGTGTTGAGTGTTTTTGAGATAGGGTCTTGTGAACTGTTTTACTCTCTGCCTCCTGAGTAGCTGGGATTACAGGTGTGAGACACCAGTGCCCAGCTGAGGTTAAAATTTTTTAAAAGCCAGATGCCAGTGGTTCACACCAGTAATCCTAGCTACTTGGGAGACTGAGATCAGGAGGATCACATTTCCAGGTCAGTCTGGGCAAGTAGTTCGAAAGACCCTGTCTTCAAAATAACCGAACCAAATTGGACTGGAGGTGTGCCTCAAGCTGTAGAGTATCTGCTCTGCAAGCTCAAAGCCCTGAATTCAAAATGCAGTTCCACCCAAAACAGTTTTTTAAAAAATTTGGTGCCTAGCTGAATGGGTGCATTTGATATGAAAAATCTTAATGGTCCAAGACCATTTCAGTTCATAGATAAGTGTATTACCTGAGCCAACGTTTTCAGGAGTTTAAGAAGCAGTTTTGTCAGGTAGTAATGCCTGTAATCCCTCAACTCTGGGGGCTGAGGCAGGAGGATTGTGAGTTCCAGGCCACATAGACTCTGTCTCAAAAACAAAGCAAAACACTCTTGTTCATCCTTTGGGTATGTGGTAGTTTGTAGACAGACTCTTCAAGGATCTGTTCTTTTTTTTCCTCCTTATGAAGATCTCTGTTTAGCAATGTTTTTTTTTTTGATTTAGTGTTTCTCTAATAAAATTATTTTATAAATCTAATAGTGCCAGTTTTACTTTTTAATGGCAGCAGTTTCCGAATGTTTTTTTTTTTTTTTAACTTTTTAAGAAGACTAAACACCAGTTTTAGAATATACAGTACGGTGAGTCAATTAATTACCAGAAAATGATACAGATGTGTCCTCGGCAGAACAAGTAGTACTTGTTTTGGTTAAGTGTTCGCTCTTTTTCTTTGTGTGAGATTGAGTGTGTGTGATTGCCATCCATTTCATTTACTTTTTACTGTTTATGTAGTGACTGTTTAAAAAGTAAACTAGGCTTTGATCCTCCCTTTCTTCCCCCACAACACAAAATATTCTCAATTTGAACAAAATTAAGTCTGCCCTTCATTTGTAGGATGATTTAACTCATTGGTCTTAATTTTTTTTTAGCCTGTTATTTTGAAAGTAAATTTCAGCTCTGTTGACTTTGTGGTTGGAAAAGTTTTTCTTCTGCTTAGAGGAAATGATCAGTTGTTTGTAGGTTACCAAATAGAAAGCTCCCTAGAGCCACTAATGAGAGAACTTGAGTTGGTTTTGTAGAGGAATGTGGTGTTTTGCGGTAAGGACAGCACGTGTGAGCACCAGGGCAGCCTCCAGCCACACTGCAGGCAGCTTGTTCCCTGTCTGGGTGGCAGCTCCTAGATAGCAGGTGCTGTCCTTCACTGTATCCGAGCACTCCAGGCTGACTTGTGTCAGTGGTGTAGAAGCATCTTTACGTCTTTGTTTTGCTGGACTGGGGATCAAACCCAGGCTCTGAGTACAACACCCGCAAGCTCTTTACTTCTGCGCTACATCCCCAGTCAGTGTCTTTAACTATGACAAGATTGTGGCATGATTAGGATTTCTATCAAGTACAACAGACGCTTTGTATTTGCAGATGGAGAGTTCCAATGAGAGAACATTGAGGGCAAACTGAGACTGCTCAGGATGCACAGACTTCAGCACCCTACGATACCTTAGTTGTTTTTTTTTTTTTTTTTTGCAGTACTGGGGCTTGAACTCAGGATCTACACCTTGAGCTTCTCCACCTTTTTTGTGATTTTTTTCAAGATAGGGTCTCACGAACTTTTTGCCTAGGCTGGCTTTGAACTGTGATTTTCCTGATCTCTGCCTCATGAGTAGCTGGGATCACAGGCATGAGCCACTGGTGCCAGTCAGTTTTTGTTTTTGTTTTTAATCTATTTGAGTTTTTACAACTCAATATCGTATTATAAGGACTTCAGCTTTTGTCAGTTGATCAACTGTTTAGGAACTGTTCATTTTAGTAATCACTTTTTTCTTTTCCTGCACTACTGGGGTTTTGAATTCACGGCCTTGTTCCTGCTAGGCAGTGCTCTATACTTGAGCCAACCCCCTTTTTTTCTTTAGTTTTTTGTATAGGGTCTCATGTTTTTGCCTTGGGCCAGGATCCTCCTACTTACAGTATCCCACATAGCTGGGATTATAGACTTGAACAACCACACCTGGCTTATTTGTTGACGTGGGGTCTCATTAAGTTTTTGCCTGGACTGTCCTTGAACCATGAACCTCCTGATCTCTGCCTCCTAAGTAGCTGGGGTTACGCCACTTCTCCTTCTTCTTTTTCTTCTTGGTATAGTTTATTAAGAATAGTAAAGTTTGTTAGAATAGGAAAGGTACCTTCAGTGGTGAAAGTGAGTTGTCTCAGAAGGAGATTGAGAAAGATCCTTGAATGGAGGAAAAAGGTTGATCTTGGCCTCCTTTACTTTTTCCAGTGATTTTGATTTTCTGCTGATAGACCTAGCATTTCAGGAGTCTTCGCTTGATTCTTCAGATTAACATGCTTTAGTATGAATTCTTTGGATGTCTTGTTTTACGCTGGGGCAGTCTTGCAGGCATAGAAATAGTCTAGGCTTGGTGGACCCCAAGTGCCACTTTCTTTCCTCCAGCTCAGGTGGGCTGTTGTGGCCCTGTGGCATCACTGCTGTCATGGCAAGAGCAAAGAATACTTGAAGGGATGGGGCGTGCTGCAGATGAGGCTGGGAAGGTGGAGTTGGGTACTTTTCAGGGGACCTTGAATGGCAGGCATGGAGTGGACTGGGGGGCCGTCTACTGTGAGATCTGTACAAGAACCTCTGTGGCGACCTCCTGCCTCTGAACTCACTTCCTTTCTCCACGCCTGCCTTTCCGTTTGGATGTTTTAATGATACCCTCCTTGCTCAGGGATTTGTGTTCAGGAAGCCAGGCACTGATTGCTTTTGTTTCTGCTCTGTGAACTTCCTCCCCCACTTCCTATTTTTACCAAGCTGTTCAGGAAATGAGCAGCTCCTGGCTGGCTGCTGCTGATTTTAGTGGCAGAGGACCAGGTCTCAGGGACGGAGCCATGGACGGCATTTCCCACCTTTGTCTCTTGACTACGTCTTCTAGGAGTCATAGGACCGTGCTGTGATTGGGTGCAGGTGATGTCACGTCCTGCTCACCCTGTGGGCAGGGGAGATTGCTGCTCCACTGGAGACAGGCAGGGCTTCTGTCCTGTGAAGTAGGCGACAGCTCAGGTGGGCTGTTTTGGCCCTGTGGCATCACTGCTGTCGTGGCAAGAGCAAAGAATAGTTGAAGGGATGGGGTGTGCTTCAGGTAAGGCTGGAAAGGTGAAGTTGGGTACTTTTCAGGGGACTTTGAGTGGCAGGCATGGAGTGGACTGAGAGATCTGTACAAGAGTCACTGTGGTGTCCTCCTGCCTCTGAACTCACAGGATTTCTTCTTTAAGCTACTGAGTCCACATTTACTGTGACTTCTCCAGTGATGCCTCTTAACTGTCTCCTGTCAGCTTAGCTTCATTTGTGGGAGCATCTTCCCAGAAAGAAGTGACTTTTTTTTTTTTTTTTTTTTTTTTTGCAGTACTGGGGTTTGAACTCAGGGCTTTGTACTTGCAAAGCAGGCGCTCTAGCACTTGAGCAAGTCCTGTTTGGTTTTGTGATGCAGGGTCTTCCTATGATGTCTAGGTGGGTTTTGTCCTGCCTCATCCTCCCAAATGCTAAGATTACAGGTGTGTACCACTATACCCTGTTAAGGTGTTTAGCTTTTTTTTTTTTTTAATGCATTGGGTAACTGGAATAGGAAGGTGCTAAAAACATTTGTTTGTCAGGGCTTCTCCACGCAGCACTATTATTGCATTGGTGCTCGGGGGTAAGTGTTTCTTTCCAAGAGGGCTGTCATGTGCTTCGTAGGGTATTTGGCAGCATTGGGTTAGCTCTAGCCACTGGATGAGCACTTCTCCACTTGTGACAGCTAGAATGTCTCCAGAAATTGCTAAATGTTGGGTGGGGTTGAAGGCAAAGGTATCCTCCCCACTTGCTGAGAGCTACTATGTTAACGAATACTGAGTTACTAACTCTGTAAAGAGGAATAAAGTAGAATGCTTGCTCTCTGAGTTTGGAGCTGTTTGTTCATTGCCAGCATCTGAATTCTTATATATTCTCAGTTTGCTGCTTGGGTTTTGCTGTTCCCATCAGCTAGCACTCAGGTATCCTTTCTGTGCGCTTTTGTAGAGAGAGCTGGGGACTGAGCACCTGACTGCCAGGCTTGTGATGCTTGTGGAAGGCATTTCTCTAAGCTCTGGGCCTTGGGCTGCGATGTGTCTTTGTGGTAGAGCACTTGCCTAGCATGGACTTGGTTCCATCCCCAGCACCACACACACACACACACACACACACACAAAGTTCTCTTCATATCGCTTGTTCTGGAAGTCTTGTTCCTGGGAAGCTGAACAGTGTCAGTGTGCAGGAGGGTATGTGAGGTGTTTGGGATATAACAGTGACAATAGCCAGTATACAGTTGCTGTAGACCATGCACTGTGGTAAGCTGGATTGGTAGGATCAAAGGATAGAGTAGAATCTGAGTATGTTGGTGCACACCTATAATCCCTGCCCTGTGGGATACAGAGGCAGGAGGGTCTTGGCTTCCCGGCCAGCCTGGCTACATAGTGAGACCCTGTCTCAGAAATCTGGTTAGTTGTTGCTGGTATAGTGGCTCAAGTGGTGGAATGCCTGCCTAGGAAGTGTGAGGCCCAGGGTTGAAAAAGATACAGTCAAAACTTGGCTTGACCTCCCCAACCCCCAAGACAAAAGAAAAAACAGTCTGGGTAGAAAGACAGGAGAACACAGTGGGGCATGTGGGAGAGCACCTTAGGTGTAGGCTCAGGGTCGTGACAGCTTTAACCAAGCAAGGCAGTAAGTACAGCATGAGGAGCAGAGACTGGAAGGGTAGCAAGGTAGAATTGGCTGCCTTACGGGTCTGATCCCAAAAAGAGGGCAGGCCTTGCCTGAGAATTAAGTTTGGGATTCATCAGCACAGTGTCTCCTAATGAGGTGACTTGTCATTGCTCCTCCAGCTCTGGTCAGCTTTCTGCCATCTCCTCTGAGCTCACAGCCATTCATTACCAACAGACATGGAACAGTGCGGTGATAGGAGCTGCCTCTCAGGACCCACACTCAGCCCTGTGGGTGACTGTTACCTCACCCAGGTGGTAGGAGCTTGAACTTACTTAACCTCAGAAGGGAAAGGACTGGCACAGCAGTGCATATTCACTTAATATCAGCAGAATTTTGAATTTGGCTTGCTAGCCAGGTGCTCTACTGCCTTTTTATTTTGGTTATTATTATTATTATTATTATTATTATTATTTTGCAGTACTGGGGCTTGAACTCAGGGCCCTTACCTTGAACCATTCCACCAACCCTTTTTGTAATGGGTATTTTTTGAGATAGGGTCTCTGTTTGCCTGGGTTGGCTTTGAACCGTGATCCTCCTGATCTCTACCTCCTGAGTAGCTAGGATTACAGGCGTGAGCCACTGGTACCTGGCTATGCTTTGGTTATTTTTGAGATAGGGTATTGTTTTTACCTGGGGTAGCTCCGACCTTTGCCTCCTAAGTATTTGGGATTACAGTGAACTACTGTGCCCTGCCAATATCAGTTGTTTTTAGGGTCCTAGTTACATGTGGAACCCCAATTGTAGACATTTCAGGAGTGGTCGTGTTTAGGAGTAATTGAACATGGTCTGCAGAATTTATTTCCAGCAATTTACTGCCCCTTTGAACGGTAGGTTGACTGGATACCATGCAGAAATAACCATTAAGTAAATACTTAGGATGGACTAATCGTCACTCACTGAGGGTTCACGATGTGCTCAGCAGTCTTGAATATCGTTTTGAGTGGGAGGGGAGATAGAGCCATACCATGGACCAGGCTGGCCTTGAATTCTCAATTCTGCCTCAGACTCCCAAGTGACTTGAGCATCGTGAATGAACTCGGTGGTCCAGGGACTCAGAGGTGGTGAGGAAGCACTGAGGGGGCTAGCACTTGTGATACAGTGATGTTAACACTAAGACAGGGCTAAAAACAGGGTAGAAAGCAAGAGAGCTTTCCAGATGTGGGAACAGAACATGTAACAGGTGGTGAGAGGGAAGACCGCACCTGTGGGGGAAAGCAGGTGGGTGTGAGAAAGCTGGGAAGGGCAATGGAGAGCCATTGCAGGTCTAAGCAGGAGAGTGGCCTGTCAGATGGGCTCTAGAACCATCACAGAGACATGAGGAGGGCAGGCATTTGAAAGAGCACTCAGGTTCTCTGATTCAGCTGAGAGGTACCGATGGTCTTAGCTTGGGATGGTGGTGAGGACAGAGAAGGGACCGGACTGCTGAGAATGACTAAGGGGTTAGCATGTGAAGAAGGTTGAGGAGTGGAGGCTAACTCCCAGGCCTCTGACTTTCACCAAGACAGAGAAGGAGCACTGAAAGACTGGGGAGATGTGGTTTTGGACATTTGTTTTGGGGACCAGTCCAGTAGGTGGTTGAATATTTGGGGTCTGGAGCTAGAGAGAAGGATTTATAATTGGCTCAGGGAGGGTGTGTTGATCTTGGAGAGGCAATGCCAGAGCTGTGAGGAACCTCAGCACTGAGGAAGAGTGACTGGAAGGGGTGACTCTGAATGGCCAGAGAGGCAGGAGGAGACCTGGGAGAAGAGCATTGCGTGAGGTGCTTCTCTTCCAGTGGTCACAGATAAGGGGCCAAAAGAGCCGAGTTCTCAGGAGGGACAGAACAAAGTGCTGAATCCTTCAGGCATTTTCTCCTGTCTGGATGGATATTTTAAATTCATGAATGTTGAGAGTAAAACTCTTCAAAGCATTTTTCTGGAGTGCATTTCTAAATATGGTTTGTGTCCATCTGACCTAAAAACATGGAAATGGTTGGGCTTTGAACTTCATAGACAATAACTTCACTGATCTGCCTGAAGAATTTCCTGTAGTGTCTCCACATTGTCAAGGGTAGATATTTGGGTTTACATGGTGGTGGGTTGGACAGGCAAGAACATTGTGTGTGTGTGTGTGTGTGTGTGTGTGTGTGTGTGTGTGTGTGTGTGTGTGTGTGTGTGTGTGTGTGTCTGTCTGTTTTCCACTCTGAAGAGAAGATTGTTTGTGCAGTGGTTCATCTTTATATTTTTATACCAGCTTTATTTGAAATACAATTCATATAACATACAGCTCACTCATTTATAATATTTAATTTGCTGGTTTTTAATTTAAACAAAGTTATGCAACCATTAGCTACAATCAATTTTAGAACTTTTTGAAAACTGGGTGTGGTGGTTCATGCCCATAATCCCAGCACATGGAAGGCTAAGACATGAGTTCAAAGCCAGAGTCTGAGCTACACAGCAAGGCCCTGTCTCAAAAACGAAACAAGAAAAAAAAGGAGGGTGGATATTTTTCCGCTCCACAAAGAAACCCTGTGCCCATTAGGAGTCACTCCTTACTTTGCAGATTTGTTCCTCCCCTCTTCCCCTAGCAGTAGGCAACCATTCATCTGCTTTGTTTTGATGAACTCTCTGATCTGCACATTTCATATTAATGACTCATGGTATGTGGCCTTTTGAGTCTGGCTTCTTTCATTTGCCATATAACCAATGTTGCAGCATGCATCGGCACTTCAGTCCTCTTTCCCTGTGTGCTGTACCACATTATGTTTGCTCATCTGTCAGTTGAGGTGTTAGGAATAACACCCTGAACATTCATGTGCAGGTTTTCGTGTAAACGTGTTTTTCACTGGATATATGCGTAGGAATAGAAGTGCTTGGGATGGGGTAAATCTGTGTTTTTCAAAGTGTCTGTACTCTTTTACATGCCTGTGAGCATGCTCTGAACATTCTAGCTCTCTACACCCTTGTCGACCCTTGCTATTGTCTGTTTTCATTACAGTCATCCTAGTGGTTGTGAATGGGTGTCTTGGTTTTAATTTGCATTTTTCTGGTAACTAATAATTTTGGCCATCCCTTCATGTGCTTTATGCACGTCCTTGGAGGGTTCATCTATATTTGATCATCAGTTTGGGCAAGGTAAATTAAGTTACAGAACTGGAATTGTAAATGAGCTAACATATCTATTTGGAATATCAGAAATGAGGAGAAGATGTGTCTCTGTGTGTGTGTAAAGTGAAAGAAGCCAGACTTAGTGCATGCCAATAATCTCAGCTATTTGGGAGGCAGGGGCAGAAGGATGTTAAATTTGAGGCAAGCCAGGGCAAAGTTAGACCCTATCTCAAAAACAAAATACAAACAAAAGGACTAGGGGCATGGCTCAAGTGGTAGAGGGCTTGTTTAGCCAGTGCAAGGCCCTGAGTTCAATCCTCAGTACTTCCAAAAAACAAAAATAAAAAAATGAAAGATACTATAAACATATTTGTAATCAGTAAAGGCCAGACTCCCCAGAGAGATGGTCAGCTCTCTCCATCCACATCAAGCCAAGCTACAGAGGAGGGTGCCTGATGATCCTGTCCCTGGCTGTGATCTTTGAAGCAGAGACCATGATCTGTACCTTATCTACATTGCTTATTTCTTTTTTTTTGGTGGGTTGAACTCAGGGCTTTGTACTTGAAAAGCAGGCCCTCTGCTGCTTGAGGTATACCTCTAATCCATTTTGCTCTGGTTATTTTGGAGTTGGGTTCTCTCCTACTTATTTTTGCCAGGGTTGGCCTTGAACTGAGATCTTCCTAATTTCAGCCTCCCAGGTAGCTAGGATTATAGGCATGAGCCACTGGTGTCCAGCATCCATAACTTTTTGTGGTGCTGAGGATTGAACTCAGGGCCTTGCACATGCTGGGCAAATGCTCTACCACTGAACTATATCCCTAGTCCCACATTATCTCTCTTAAGGTCACAAATATTGCAGCCACTGCCAGGTTTCTGCAGACAGACCTGTCACCTTTTTGGTGGAGAGGTAGATTGCCACAGGAACCAGTTTCTTGAATTTGTAAGGCAATACCACTGAAAACAATCAGTAACTCATTCATGTCAGATTTCCAGAATCTGCTAACGTACTTGCTGACCCTGGGAACCCAGCAGTGAGGAAGGAGGTTATACACTTGCTGGTAAAATGTCCATAAATTTAGTGGTGAGATGATTGCATGTTGTCATTAAGACAAGATGGCACTGGTGGAAGTGGCTCAAGTGGTAGTGCCTGCCTAGCAAGACTGAAGTCCTGAGTTCAAATTGGGTTCGAAGACAACCCTGGGCAAATAGTTTGTGAGACCCTATCTTGAGAAAATCCTTCAAAAAAAGGGCTGGTAGAGTGGTTCAAGGTGTAGGCCCTGAGTTCAAACCCCAGTATTGCAAAAAAAAAAAAAAAAAAAAGCCACGAGACACTGGTTTAGATAGGAAGTTCTCAATTCAAGAACTAAAGGATAAGCCAGATGTGGTGGTTCATGCCTGTAATCCCAGCTACTTGGGAGGCTGAGAGCGGGAGGATCGAGGTTCAAGGCCAGCCTGGGTAAATAGCTCAAGAGGCCCCAACTCCAAAATAACCAAAGCAGGTGTGGCTAAAGAGGTAGAGCACCTGCTTTGCAAAGCCCTGAGTTCAAACCTCAGTCTCACCCTCCCTTAAAGGAAATAAGAGCCCACCCGCATGAATAGGAAAGGAGGGAGGCAAGAGTTTTCCAGCTAGAGGTATTAGCATGTGGAAAGGGCTTGATGTTCTGCAAGAAATAAAGATGAGTAAGGTGGCTGAGTGAGGGGTCAGGAGGCACAGCATGAGGCTGGAGAAGTAGGCAGAGCTGTGTATGGTGAGCTTGATCTCATTCTGAGTACAAAGGGACACTATTGGCTATAAATTATATGCAAAAATGAGATTAAAAAGTTGATAGAAAGGAATAAAAATGAAAGTGGAGGACAAAGCTGGTAACAATCTCTCGGAGAAACCTATGATAATTGTAACTCATGGAGGCAGTGATATCAGTGGTTAGGACTGGTTATTTACTAACGAGGGTCGAAATGACCTACAGAAAAGACTTGAAGTTTGCAGTTTACCTTTCCCATTTCCTATAGATTGCTAGATAGTGAGGCTTGATTTGATTTTTATTCAGTATTTTGAGGTGAATATTTCAAGGTACTGTGTACTTTGTGTTTCATCACAGTAATAGGTGTATAATTATATGTCTAGTTCCCGCCTTTCAATGATGCTAGAATTAATTAATGGGTCCTGGTGTAATCTAACCTGATTCCTTCATCATAAACTCCCTCCTCAAATTGTAACCTTACCATTTTTAATAGTGATTGAGAATCACTCCTACACCCTTTCCTTATATCTTCTCCCTTCCCACTTCTCCCCTCCCTTCTACAAACCCCCTGGGACTGGAGTTTGAACTCAGGGCTTCACTCTTGCAATGCAGGTACTTTATTGCCTGAGCCACAGCTCCATTCTGTTTTGCTCTGGTTGTTTTGCAGATACTGGGTGGGGTGTCTCAAGACCCAGGCTGGCCTTGTGCCTCGGTCCTCCTGATAGCTTCCCAAGTAGCTAGGATTACAGGCGTGAGCCACCAGTGCCCAGCTGTTGTTTTATTTGCTGGAGATTGGGAGTTCTTAATACATTCTGGATATCATCTCTTTTGAGATACTTAATTTTTAAAAACTTTCTCTTATTCTGTACACTGCCTTTTCTGTTCAGAATACCCTTTAACTTAACAATTTCCATTTTAATGAAGTCCAGCTTATCTTTTTTCTGTTGTAGCCTGTGCTTTGGTGTCATATCCAAGAAATCATTGCCAAGTCTGATCTCATTGATTTACATATATGTAATGCATTTCACTCCCAAATAGTTGTTTTTTGGTGCTTAAATTGCCTCATTATTGGCCGTTAATAGAAATCACTTTTCTGGTTAACTATGGATCCTTTTGGTATGAGTCTGGGAGTCTTAGGTAGACTCCCTGCCTTCTGGCCTGATGAGAGAGAAGTCCTGGACTTAGAATCTACTGTTTCTTTAATGAGCTCTGATTCCTTTCGGTGGGAAAGGTATTTTGGGGCATTCATTGCAACTGGGCTGTGAACTCCATTTTTTTTTTTTTTTCAGGAGAGCTAGAAGATACATACTTTTGGCAAAGAAAAAGGTAAATCATAATTTCAGACTGATATTTTCAATTCAGTGAGGATTAAGGAATTTTTATTTCTTTGATTTTATATATATTTTTTTCCTCATTTGTTGACAACACCAGAGAGGTACAGTCAAAACACTGTTTCAGTTGTTTCATGATTCACTTGAGATAATTCTTCTCTAGGTTCTTAGGCCATTAATTAGATAACTAGTGGGGATAATTTATTTTTTATATTTAGGGATATTTTTCTTTTTGATTTATATGTGTGTGTGTGTGTGTGTGTATATATATATATATATTTTTTTTTTTTTTGGCAGTACTGGGGTTTGAACTTGGTCTCATGCTTGCTAGGCAGGCACTCTACCACTTGAGCCACTCTTCCAGCCTTATATTTTTAATTATGCAAAATATTTACATCATTCTATAAAGATAAAACTAAAAAGCAAGATAGTTTGAAAGAAGTTTGGGTTGGTTCCTTGTTTCTGTTTTTCTGTATACCTTATAGATAAGCAATTTTTTAAATTTATTTTTTCTTAGTAGTTTTGAGGATTAAACCCACGGCCATGTGGGTGGTAAGCGAGCACTGTACCACTGGGTCACATCCCTGGCCCATAGTTTATTTTTAGAAATATAACTCTGTGTGTGTGTGTGTCTGTCCCCTACACCTCACTTCTTTCCCATTTTATTTCTTTTTTTGTTTTTCACCTTGGCAATCATTTTTTGAGAGCTTATTTGGAGGTTCTAGCAGGGGAGTGCAGCTATTCGATTGCCCTTGACTGAAGAACAGTCCTCCTCTTTTGGGGATGGTCGTCCTCTTCCACCAAGCTCACAGCTTTGGGAAGGACACACATGGAGCAGTGAGGGAGGAAAGGGACACCTGCCTACCCAGCCAGATAGCCGAATCAACCCTGCTAATCAATGAGGTGACAGATGTCGCAGCCAGATCGCCCTCACATCCGGCAATCATTCTGATTTCTAAGAATGCTTGATTTCTGTTTCCCTTATGATTTGCTTGCTTTGTTTTAAGGATGTGCTGTCTTTTTGAATCTCAGAGGATACTAGACAGTATCTTTTCAGGTGTTTTCCCTTTTCTCCTCTCTCCTTTCCTCCTCCTCCTCTCCTCTTCCTCCCCTCCCCTCCCCTCTTCTCTTTTTCTTTTTTTTTTTTTGCCACAGTCTCACTGTGGACAGGGTGTCACTATATAACTCTCACTCTGTAAGAGGCTGGCCTGGAAGTCAGGATCTTCCTGCCTCACCCAGGTGTGCACCACCACACCTGGCTTTTTCTGGGATTTAGAGTACTTGCTTCTTCTAAGGTCTGCTCTGCTCTGACCTGGGTTATTGAGGTAATTGGTAGAAGGTTCCTGTTTTTCCATCAGTCCTCTCGCCTTAGTGGCAGCCAATTCAGAGATCAGGAATAGGAAGTACAGATGAGATCAGGTTGATTAGCCTGTTTTCTCCTCCTGGCTTCTGTACCTGTTGACTCCAAGCTGGGCATCTGTCCACCTTCTCCAGGAAGAAGGGCTCTGCCTTCTGACCTCCTTTGGCTCTGCATGATCTAGAAAGTGCCCAGCCCTGTCATGTTTCATCGTATAATATGATAAATTTCCTATACTTTCTGTCTTCTAAAAAGTATCCACACTTAAATAGACTGTGGCTATCAGGCCTTGCTGTCATGTTGTAATTTCTTTGTGAACAGGTTGCTGTTATGTTCCTGGGGTTTGATGGGAATGAGCAACAAGTGTTTGTGCTGTGTGCGCCTCACTGCCTGTGGTCCTAGAGCGACACTCCTTTATGCCACTCCATTGCTACAATGGGGCCACCTGCCCCTCCTGCCTCTCCATTTTCCCTGTTGGTCTAGTGACTTAAGCGGATTTGAAGTTGTACTCTGCTGAGGGTTGAGTTCAGTTGTAGAGCACTTGCCTGCCATGCACAAGACTGTGGGTTCGACTCCCCACACCACACACACACAGAAAATTGTTCTCTGTATTCATAGATCATAACTATCAATCTTTAATCAGTTGGGAAGATTTAATTAATTCACTTAGTTTTTAAATTTCTCTTCACAGTTACTTAGTCCATTTAAGTAGAAATTAGACATTGCGTAGTGTATGATGCCTCCTTCCCAGAACAGGGATATCTGTTTGGTCTGGGGACTGTATAACTTAACAAGACCTTTCTTGTTTCTTGCTAACTTTTTTCCTAGACAGCAGAGATAACAAGGCCTGCTTACTTTTGCTTGTTTTGTGGGAATAATAATAACATCGTCAGATATTTATTTGCACATTATTCTATGAGTTTTTTATTTGTAAGCTTCTTTTTTGTGGTAGTGGGACTTGAACTCAGGGCCTACATCTTGAGCACTCCACCAGTCCTTCTTTTGTGATGGGTTTTTTTGAAATGGGGTCTCTTGAACCATTTCCCTGGGCTGGCTTCAAACCTTGATCCTCCTGAGTAGTTAGGATTTCAGGCGTGAGCCACTGGTGCCCGGCTTGTGTAAAGTTTCTTAATGCAACACTGCTTACTGTTATTTTTCCTATTTGACATAGATGAAGCTGAGGCAGAGGAGAGGTGAGGACTTTGCTCAGAGGCACATTGCCCATAAGTGGCTCATGCAGTTAGACCTGCACACCACTGTCTTACTCGGTTCAGTACCCTGTCTCTCTATAGGAAAGAGCTTTAGGAAATTTCCTCAGGATGACTGGCCACTTTCTATAAAGTATCAATTTGGGTCATAAGAACACTCTCTTATATTGAATCTTCATTTAATTTCATGCATTTTTCTAGTTGTTTAAGGTAGAAATTGTTGATGTCTCCGATTACAGAAATGATGTAATTGGGTTCACTTTTTTTTTTTTTTTTTGTGGCAGCATGGGGTTTGAAGTCAGGGCCTCACACTTGCTAGGCAGGTGCTCTACCACTTGAGCCACTCTGCCAGCCCTTTTTTTGGTTGAGTATTTTTCGAGATAGGGTCTCTCAAACTACTTGCCCAGACTGGCTTCGAACCATGATCCTCCTGATCTCTGCCTCCTGAGTAGCTGGGATTACAGGTGTGAGCCATGGGCACCCAGCTAGCTTTAATCTTTTTAGAACCTTTTAAAATTGTTGTGGTTTTGAAAAGATATGACTTAAACTACTAAAACATAATTTTCTGCTTTATACTTGTGAATTTCAAGTAGCGTTAAAACTTATGAGTACATTTCTTAAATCTTACCAGTCTTGGCCACACTAACCTCTGTGGTCTTTCACAATGCGTATTTATTCCCATGCTGCATAAATAGTGGATTCATAAATTGTGACTGTTTTCCAGTGAAAATTCTTTTAGGAAAAGATGGAAAAGAAATGTCCTTAAATGGATTGAACATATTTTAGCCCTTCAGGCAGATAAAAATGGAGGGAATGCATTTGAAAAACACTCAGACAGCATTGGGAAGAATTTTATTAAAAAAAATAATAGAATATATTCAGTTGCTGGCGTGCATGTGTGTGTGCGTTTGAAACATTTCTTTTAGAAAAGTTCAGTCACGTGCACCTGAGCAAGTGATATGATGACTCTAGTACCCCTCACACAGCTTCCAAAGTGTTTCGTGAGGGGATAGTGTGATCACCACCATGAAGATGACTCCTGGGATAGGAATCACCAGCTTCTCTGCATGTTGTTTCTTGGCAACATCCCATTTGAAAATGGTCAAACTTGAATAGTACTTCAGTTCAATGGTATTTCCTTGATTTCAGCCCTATCTAAACGATCAATATGGGAATACCAGATCTGTTAATAAGCAAAAGCCAGTTTCCATTTTTAAGGGGCTTGTTTTTTCTCTGCCTAGAGATGATGCCTGGGCTTCACAGTAGCACTTAAAGGTCTTGAACTTTTCATTGAACTGCCCAACCAAACCCTTGTTCTCAGAAAGACTATCATCATTTTGGTGGAAGTGGGTACCCCAGGAATCATCATGTAATTAGTCATTCCTGGAAGAGGGCTATCCTCATTCTAACATCAGAGAAAGAAGTTCTTAAGCCATCGTTGGTTTCTGGCTTCTTTCTTTCCGTATTGATTTTAATGAGGGTTTTGGGGAAGGAGACTGGGGTTTGAACTCCGTCTTGCACTTCTTGGGCAGGTGTTCTACCACTTGAGCCATGCCCCAACTTAGTAAGGTTAATGTTAGTATGGCGTCAAACATTGTTAAACATTTCTGCTCTGTTTTTTTTTGTTTTGTTTTGTTTACGTGTTGGGGACCGAACCCAGGGAAGGCTTCATGCATGCTAGCTAGGTAAGCACTCTCACTGAGCTGCAGTCCCAGTCGCTTGTTTCCATTCTCTGCAGTACCAGCCAGGGTTGAGCTCAGGGCCTTGGCTTGCTGGCAGGAATTCTACTACTTGAGCTGCACCTTTAGCCCCTTGTGCCTGTTCTGTTTGTTTGTTTTTGGTTTGGGGACTGGTCTTGCTATGTGGTCCATGCTGCTCTTGAACTTGTGATCCTCCTGCCCTAGCCTCTCAAGTACTAGCATTATAGGCATGTACCATCATGTCTGGCTGTCATTTTCATGCTTTTTTGGTGGTCCTGGGGTTTGAACTCAAGCACTCTACCACTTGAGCCAAACATCACGCCTCCAGTCCATTTTGCTGTGGTTATTTTGGAGATGGTGTCTCTCAAACTGTTTGCCTGGGCTGGCTCCCCATCTCAGGCTGTCAAGTAGCTAGGATTATGGGCATGAGCCACCAATGCCCGGCTCTCATTTTCATTCTTAACCATATGCTTGGTGCCACTCCTGCTATTATGATAGACAGATACTGTCATACAGTTTATTGTAGTTCCTGGATGCTATAATAAAATACCACAGACTGGGCTGCTTCTAAACAGAATTTTGTTTCTCACAGTAGAGGTAGAGGTGGGAAGTCACAGTCAGCGTGCCAGCATAGTGGGGTTCTGGTGAGGGCTGTCTTCTGGTTTGTAGATTTCCAACATTTTATATCTTCACATGATAGAAACAAATTGAGCTAACTTTCTGGCCTTTT